AGCCGCGCCGGAGCACGGAACGGGGCTCCTTCCCCGCCCCGTGCGGGCAGGGCGGGCCGGGAGCGGGAGCGGAGCAGCCGGCGCGGAGGGGGTTGAACTCCAGAAGCAGCAGCCCGTGTGTGGATATACCCCATGTCACAAGAAACAGCTGTTTCGGAGACGCCGGAGAACCTCGTTGACTTCGTTTGTCCCCTCCTAGTGAATCGTAACCAACGCTTAGGTACGCGTAGGAGAGGTTTTGAGAGTGCTTCTCTTAGTAGCTTGTTCGGTCATTGGTAGGAGTCTTAATTGTGTTTCACGTGCGTCTGGTAATTGTTAAAAGGCAAGTTTCTGTTTCGCTTGTGTCTGTTGTCTCTTTGCTTCACTTGTGTCTCATATCTGTGTTATTAAAATGGGTGACCTGTCCTCAGCAGAAGGTGACGTTACCAAATTTTCACCAGTAGGATGTGCTCTGGGAAACTGGAATAAGCTTGGGAGTAACGCCTTGTCTGGAAAGAAAAACATGTATTGTAATCGTTGGTGGCCACTTTATACCCTGAAAGATGGAAGAAAATGGCCACGGCTTTGAACTATGTTTTTATAACAATACCATATTGCAGCTAATAGGGGGAAGGGAATGACAGTGTAGAAGATACACAGTTTTTGGTACCCTCAGCTCCTTCCCTCCACCTTGGTATTATGGGGGGCTGGGAGTGAAAGAGGGGCAAGTGGGCAATCAGGGGATATGGATTTCAGTCTGGTGGCCAGGAGAATGAGGGGACAGTGTCCAGCTGTTTAAGCCCCTTTAAGAGAAGCAGTAAGGGTGGAGGAGCAACTGGTTTATGAGAATATCCCTTTTAAACATTGGACCTGTTAAACTGGAAAGAGTCTGTGGGGCCTATGGAGCTAATCCAGAGACAGTGAGCTACTACATTAACCAGGTTTTGCCCAGTGAGAACCTGGCTAGCAGATAAATTCTCCTGTCTTAGGAACTCCACTCCTCACCAAGAAGGAAAAGACGGGCTGGGAGTGAAAGACGGGCAAGTGGGCAATCAGGGGATATGGATTTCAGTCTGGTGGCCAGGAGAATGAGGGGACAGTGTCCAGCTGTTTAAGCCCCTTTAAGAGAAGCAGTAAGGGTGGAGGAGCAACTGGTTTATGAGAATATCCCTTTTAAACATTGGACCTGTTAAACTGGAAAGAGTCTGTGGGGCCTATGGAGCTAATCCAGAGACAGTGAGCTACTACATTAACCAGGTTTTGCCCAGTGAGAACCTGGGCTGGGTTCCTACCTCCAAAAAGGACCTGGACAGACTTAAGTGATGTCACCAATCAATCTTGTACGGGGTTAGGCATAGGACTCATCAACAGAAAAACAAACCTTTTGTGTGAGGTTAGACAGGGGTCTGACAAGGAACTTTCAATCTCTTTTGAGATGCTCTCTGAGACTGCTAGGAAATGAATAGATTTGGACCTTGAAGCTAACCAAAAGGTGTTTATCATGCTGTTTATAGGTCAGTCAGCCCTGCGTAACAGAGTCAAATTGCAGGAGTCATTGCAAACAAAAAGCAGAGGCCAGGGCAGAGTGAGATGTGCAAGATCATTGTCTATGAGGGATCGCAGAAATCGAGCCCTGGTAGGGTTAAAACAGTGTGCACATTGTAATCGAGAAGGGCACTGGAAAAGGGATTGTCCCCAGATCCCTGGCCGAACCTCTGGCAGAACTTCTGGCAGAACAGGCCCCTCTAGGTCTGAAATACTGGCAATAGATTGGTGTCCCCGACATGATAGAGACTCAGATTGATGGGAACCAGGGGTGGAATTAAATTCCCCATGAGAGCCCCTGGTTACAATAAAGGCGGGGAAGG